CATCACATCATAATGATTAAGGTCAAGCTATTAGATAGCAACGAAACTTAACTAAATCTCCGTTGTTCCATCCCTTTCTCATTCATTACCTCTTTGGTCTGTCAAGTATGAATGAGGCGAGTTCTAACATTGCGCACCACTAGAAAGCATTCTGAATGACAAGATTAACAATACATGCTTACACTTTTCTAGAATTACTTAATTATTAATCATACATTGTTAATTGCTCATGGTTCCCACAACCCTAGTTGTGAATTTAGGTACTCATGCTTGAGAATTCACAATTAATATTAGGGTTAATAAGCTAAATAATGAACTTACAATTAAAATAGATGAATACCGCAACCTTCAATTGAAAACCAAAAGAAAATTGCATAAAACAAACTTCAAGAATTAAATTGCTAAAGTGTTAGCAAAATAATCCAAAAGGTCAAGAACAATAGTCTCCAAAAACGTCCAACCCCCCAAAACGTAAATTACAACTTATATTTACAGTACTTACGTCCTAAACCAAGTAGGAAACAAAAATAAGGAAAATTTGGTTTTGGCAGGTTTTGACCGACGGTGGCCAACAACGGACTGTGGATCAGCCAACGGTTCGTGGGTCACCTCCGTGGTTCAGTAGTTGGCAATAATTCTTGGTCTTCTTATCGTCGGTTTCCACTTACGGTTCGTAGATCCATTTACTCTCCGTCCTGCTCATCCATGGTTTAAGTACTGAAACTCAACTTTCTGAATTTAATGACGGCTGCGATCGACAGTCCGTCACTCAAGGTATGGGGCATCGATTGGCTCCATTATTCCACACTTAGGCCAAGCTTTCTTGAAACATTGACCCACGGCTTCCACCTACGGCTTGTCAGCTGAGTGATGGCTCATGGTTAAGCCGGTAGGTTTCCAAGTTCCACTGTTTAATCTACATTCAACGACAACTGCTTCAAAACTGATTTCCTACAAAATGAGACCAAACACCATCATATCTAATAAAAATATGCCTAAGACGCACACAAACTTCAGGTATAATGCATAAAAAATTACCGTTAATGATACGCTCAAATTAAACCTCTCTAAAGAAGCATTAGTGATCATTGTAAAATAAAGAACCCAACTTGTAGGTTGGGGTTGATCTCAAGAGGAATATGGTTCAGACTTAACCTTAGCCCAGTATTATATCCGTTTAGTCAAATTATTTCGTAGACAATTAAATAAAAGAGGGGGGGGGGGTTTATAAGGAAGTAACAGATTGTTGATTAAGTAACAAGTAAGGAAGATTCAACTTTGAGTTATCACTGTGAGAGAGAGACTAGGGTATATGTGTTCCCCACAAGATCTTAATGTAGTAATCATAATAATAGTAATCCTCTCCCACTGTTTAACATGCAAAGTTGATAAGTTGGGTATCCCTAAGTGATTGGTCCTCCATATAGGTAATTTCACTATGCACCTTGGTCCGACTTTGAGTGTATGCTTTACTAACCCTTACCTTTACCTCAGATTAGACATCACATCAATGTATGGCTTAGTTTTCGCCCTCGCTCCAATTGACATTAAACTATTACATAGCATCCACTAAATCTTTGTTGTTAATTCTTTTCTCATTAACTACCTACTTGGTCCGGCAAGTAGCAACAAGGCAAATTCTAACATTGCACACCGTTAAAAAGACTTCTAAGCGAAAGAATTAACAATACATGCTTAAACACTATTCATGAATTACTTAATTATTATTCATACTTTGTTAATTGCTCATTGTTCCCACAACCCTAGTTGTGGATTTAGCTACTCAATCATGAAAGAACACAATTCATAATTGGGTGAAAAAAATTCATGAACTTACAAGAAGAAATGATGAAACCCGAAATCTTCAATTGAAATTCAAAGAGAAAATTGTATAAAACGAATTTCGAAAATCAAATTGCTATGAGTTTGCAAATTAATTCCCAAAGAACAAAAACTAAGATTTTACAATAATTTCTAATCCTCAAACACGAGGATTACAACTCCTATTTGTAGAAAACAAATCCTAAATAAAACAGGAAACAAAATAAGGAAATAACTGGCAGGACGCGGTTTCAAACAATGCTTCGATCTACGGACCGTGGGTCAACCTACAGTCCGTACGTCCCCTCCGTGGCTCAACACTTAGACAATTTCATCACGTACTGGAACCTTCAATTTTCTAATCTTCATCAATGGACGTGTAGGACAGACCATGGGTTGACCTACGGTCCGTCGTCTTGCTCTGTGGTTCCACACTTGTCAGATTTCTCTAATGGTCCACCTACGATGCATCACAGACGGTCTGTGGGTTAGGCTATGGTTTATCCTGTCAGTCTGTGCTTTCAGTTTTGAAACTCACTTCTCAAACAAGGACTTATGACTGCCCACCTACGGCCCGTCATTGGACCTATGTTCCTTGGGTGGCTCCATCGGTGGTCACTTTTGCTCTATTTCAACTAGCATCTTCATCAAACATATCCAAGCCAATTTCTTGCAAACATGATACACATAACATTATTTCTAATACAAAATATCCCAAGACACACACAAACTCTAAGTAAAATGCATTAAAAAATACCCTAAAATCATGATATATCAGTCAACTCACGGTATATCAATATCCTCAACTTAAAATTATTGTTTGTCCTCAAGCGACACACTAAACAGTAAACGACACTCATGTAGAAGCAAACATACAAACTCAAGCAATCACATGGCTTTCTCTATCAATTCTTTCACGTACTGAAAATCCTCTCATTTAGACTCAATGAGCTAACTCATGCGGATCAAAACATGACATAGACAGACCAATAAATATCACCAGATACACTTTTAACAATCACCAAGATACCAACTTTCCAACAATGTAAGTAATGCCGTTACCACAAAAAAAACCTTTTTCACATAAGATATGATAATTTAGCTTATGAATTCAGTAAAAACTCACACTCAGAAGTGAATTCAATTACAGTTAGTGCTCAATATCATAGGCTTGCCCTTATTTTCACTGCATAGACTCTCCAGACAGGTCACTAGGATCAATATAGGGCTTTCTTAGCTTGTAGTGTAGGCTCAGGGTTGGGTAGGATACATTTGGGTATTTTAGTGACTTTTCTACCCTACTTGACATTACGTTAGCTATTTACCTCTTTTCTCAACCAATTCTTACATCATTTTGTTTTCTACTTTTTTCCTTGACTTATTGTAGCACAGATGTGACGTTAACTTTTTCATTCTTCTTTTTTCTTTTCTTTTTCTTTTACTTCTTCTCTTATTTTATTTGACATCATTATCACTCTTTTGTTTCTTTTGGATTCAGTCACACCTTTTACTATCTTTTTCTTCTTCTACACACAACTCTTTTCATACCCTTTTATTTCAGTTTCCTTTTTCATAGTCAGTCTCAACTTATGTATTTTGCGTGAGTTGAGGTGAATGATATCTTAGGTCGAACCAAGACCAAGATTAAGGTAACTTCTGAATTAGCCACCCTTAACTTAGGCTTTTAGCCTAAGTTAAGGTGCACAATCAAGGAGGGACCAGGGCCAAAACAAATCTTTAGGGAAAGTGAGTTAGGTGTATTGAAAGAAGTGGTATTCATTAGGCTCAAATGTTTGGATCGAATGGAGCATTTATTTATTTTCGTTGGATTATTTTAGGCCTAAGTGGACTTATTATTAAAAAGGGTCTATGATCATTTCCTAATTCCCAGCTTAGACTATCTTAGCATGACCAACTAGGAAAGTTCTTGATGGGCACACACTACATGAATATACAAAATCATCTCACACACACTTGACTCATTGTTTCATTATCAAATCACTGAAGCATCTAGTTCATGTTCTAGCTTAAGTCATGGTATCATACCAGTTCCTATTATCTCACATGAAGATCAAACATATCAAACTCATTAAGCCTATAGATCTATCACAGTTCAAAGTTTTAGATAGGTATCAATGTTCATGCTTTTATTCCATCATGCTTTAATTCTTTCAGTGTAGTTGTACACTTATACAATCCTAAACATGTAGGCTTAAGTAAAAATGTAAAATAGTCCCTTGGGGGAAAAGAACACAGGCAAGAAAACACCAAGGAAAGGTTATGAGTTACGTTGCTCAAACTTCACCCTACCACTCACAACCCATTTACCCCACCCCCACAAAAAATGGTGCAATTTCCCTCAATGCACATAAGAATATAAGACAAAATGTGAAGTAAACTTGTGGTGCGTAAGAGCCAAAGACCCATCAAGAAACGGGTAGGTCAGGTTTCCTAGAACCTACTGGATCAGCAATAGTGATGTCCTAAGTAGCACCCTCATTAATAGTGGGAAAAATATCAGTAGTGCTCCTCAAACGCGATGCACCCGCATCTACCATCTCACAAGCTCTCTACTGTCGCAGTTCCTCCTTAAAAGAGACTGTCTCTATGTTGCCTTGACCTGCTGCCTCTCTCTCTTCCTAGCTCATCGGACCTTACAAACATCTGGAGTATGCTCAAAAGAGCGGGTGCGCTTGCCAGCAGTACGAGAAGGGTGAGGTGGTGGCTTTGCATCGACAAACAGTGTAGTGATCACCTTCTCATCTGCCTCATCCTCAGGTGTGGGCTTTGGGATATCCTTAGCTGGTGAAAGGAGGGCATCAACATCAAACCGGAGCCTAGTCAACTCCATCTGGATAGTAGTAAAATCAATAGTGGACCCAAAACTCTCTACTACTCAAAGATTGAAAGCATCTAACCGCTTGTGGACCGACTGAATCTTTGCATCCATCATCCTCTGCATGCGAGTCTCGGACTCCTCTACTGACCTCTGCATCCATGGTCTCATGTGCTGCAATAGGGTGGAAAATCTAAGTCTATAATTTTTGAACTCGAGACAGAGGAACAACATTAGATCTTGAAGGGGTAGAGGCTCGTGAAGAGCTAGAAGCATGACTAGTGAAAGTGGAGGGGGGATCCCGTGCCTCTGCTGTTGTGGCAGGCATAGTAGTATCTGCAACCTACTCAATCTTAATCTTCTCCACATCTCTAGAAAGATCAGCACCCAAAGAAGGTAGGCCAACCTGTGGTCCCTTCCATGGTGCTGTAGAGTTAACATAATCAATAATGAGGTTGCGGTGCTACTTGATAGTATCCTTGTTCAACTGACGATAATCTATACACATCCTAAGAGAACCATCTTTCTTCCTGACAAATAAGACCGAAGCGCCCCAATGTGAGACATTGGGTCGAATGAAACCTTCTCAAGAAGGTCTTTTAACTACTTTTTTAATTCTTTCAACTAAGCTGAAGCCATTCTATATGGCTTAATAGAGATAGGACGAATATCAAAGAGAATATCCATATCGAAGTATATTTCTCTCTAAGGAGGGACTTTAGGAATATCAGCTGGAAAGACCTCTGGAAGCTCACACACAACTAGAACTTACTGAATAGGCGGTGTCTCTACACTAGAGTCATTAACTTGGACTAACTGATAGATGCACCCCTTGGAAACTAACTTTTTCTCCTTAAGGTATGAAATAAAACGACCCTTAGGCACTGCTAAACTACTCCTCCACTCTATAACTCACTCATTAGGAAACTGAAACTTTACAACTCGAGTTCTACAATCAACTTAGGCATAACAAGCATGAAGCCAGTCCATACCAAGAATATGATCAAAATCTACCATGTATAACTCGGCTAAGTCAACCATGGTGTCCTTGTGATTGACAGAAAGGGTACAACCACGATTAACTCTCTCAGCTAGAATAGACTCACCAACATGTGTGGAAACACTCAAGGGCTAAAGAAGTTGTTCAGGAAGGATATCAAAATTCATAGCAACATAAGGAGTCACAAAAGATAGACTCACTCTTGGATCTAGAAATGCATATACATATAAATTAAACACCTTGATCATACCAGTGACAACATCTAGAAAATTCTCTTGCTCCTGGCGACCAATGATAACATACAGACGGCTTGCTCCTCCGCCTATCCCTGAAGTAGATCCTCTAGGTACATCACTATCTGGCAGAGCCACTAAAGAAGATTGGGATCTATTGTCCCCATTGTCATTGCCCTGCCTGTTCTTTGGGCAATATCTCATGAAATGACCATTCTGACCACACTTGAAGCAATGAGTGGAGGCATCACGACAAACTCTTAGGGGTTCCTACAACACTTAGCACATGCAGGAGTCCTATTACCACATTTTGTCACACTACCTTGAGACTGTGCATGTCTAGCTCTGAAGTTTAGAGAGTTTTGATTCTTGAACTTACCTTTTTTTCCTAGGTGCAAGTGCACTCGTAAATAAGGGAGCAGGTCCATTTGGCTTGTGTTGAAAGGATGACCGGTTCACATTGCTTTTCTGCTGCCCTGACTCATTTCTTGTTGTCTTAGCCTTCTTATTCCGAAACTCTTCTCTATCTCTTAGCTTATCTTCCTCAACCTGTTGTAGATGGATCGTAAGTCTTGCTATGTCCATGTCTCCTACCAACATAGTTGCTTTAGCCTCTTTGCTTGATAGACGAGACAACCCAGAAACAAACAAGCTCATCCTGCTCCTAATATCAGCAACTATTTTTGGGGCATAGTAGGAAAGTTGGGTGAACCTAAGGCTATACTAATGCACTCATAGATTCCTACTTAAGACTGAGGAATTATGTTACCTTTTCCTCTCTTAGTTCACGTGGAAAAAAATGCCCCATGAAGGCCTCCTCGAACGCAGTCCAACTCGCAGTTGGTGCACTTTCAGCTTTACTCTTATTCCATTGGTCGTACCATACTCTAGCAACACCCGTCGATTGGTATGTGATGAATCTGAGATTTGGACTCATTTAGGGATTTGTTTATAATGTTTTAGTGTCCTCAAATGCTTATTTTGTGCTAATAACTGATGTAAAATCCTTGATTTCTAGGTATTTGGATTGACGAACAAAGCAGGGACACTAATTTGCAAAAAGGGATGAAGCGAGCCAAAAGAAGAAAGAAAAAAGAGCCTGATGATTGCCAAGTCCATTTTGCGAGTCGGCGAGTGGCCATTTGAATGCCTAAAGTTCCAGTGTGCCAAGCCTTGAAGGAAAAAATCAAGTTGGCGAGAGAAAGGAGTAGTCGGTGGATCACCGAGTGATTCCGCAATGGAAAGTTTGATAGCCCAAAGTTACAAACCTGGAGGATGCTGAAGTCCAAGGCAAAAAGGCGATGGAATTGACTAAAGGGTGGATTGCCGAGTTGATTGGCAAGCTCGACTTACTACGCCGAATGGCCCTTCACAACATATTTTTGACCACTATGTGGTCGTCAGGGGTAAGAAGGTAAATTGTGATAGTGCTGCCATCAATGCAGTCCTACAATGTTCAACTAGACTTGAGGATGACTGTTAATACAAGATCAGGACAAAAACATTGGAAAAAAATGAAGAAATGGTTGGCTCCTCCGATATCAGATGGTACTCCCAAGTGGGTAGAGGTTGGAGCACCCATTGAGAAGAAGGACCTCAGTGTAGAAGTGATGTATTGGTTTGGCTTCATCAACAGTACCATTATGCCATCCTAGAACGAGTCGATTCTCTACCACGCCAAAGCAACTTGTCTTAGTTTCATCATTAATGGGACGAGGCTGAACTTGGGATGATTATTGAACATAAGATGCTTATGAGGGCCAAGCATTGCCAAATATCTCTACCTTTCTCGGTGTTGATTACCGAGTTGTGCAGACAAGCTCGGGTGCCTAGAGATGGGAATAAGGATGTGGAAGTGATTCCCACATCCTCTACTGACATCCGGAGAATTGAGGCGGAGTACTTGAAAGATGAGGCCGAGAAGAAGGAAGGCAACCCCGGTGGACACATCCTCGGTTGTTGATGTCCAGACACTACCTGCAGAGGCAATATTGCCTACTCCAGCCCCTGGGCCTTCACGTATATTAACCCTACTCCTTCCATGACATAGTTCCTCTGCAGCTCCCTTGCCCCTAGATCTGGTACTGTTGTTCCTTCTGCTGCCCGACCTCCACTCACTTAGGCTACATTACTACGAATAGGGAACTAGCCCATTCTGTTAATAGACGCGCCTCCAGACTTGAGACCACTATTCCTGGCATGATCGAGAGGGCTCTTACTGATGTTGTGACATCATTGGGTTGTACTATTGATGCCCTTACGACAAATATATCGGTGTGTGAGCAAGGCCAATGGGCCATAGAGGAGGTGAAGACTCTGAAGGCCGCCATTGCTGAACTGAGGAGAGATTTGGACCAGATGAAGTCCACTGATATGTCTATGATTTTCGGTACAGTAGAGATCCCTGACTTACCAGTTGATCAAGATGTGCCTCTAGCTATCACATGAGATGAGGTTCTAGTTGAGTAGGTGGCCGCTGCTGAGTCCGAGGCCGAGATTGATGAGGAGCGGCTTGGTGTTGATGATGAGGCTTCTTATAAGGGCCTAACGGAGGTTGAGGAGGCAATGGTAGATGCAGCTGTGTAGACCTATTTGGCAGACACACCTTTGGATGACTATAGTGGAGCTGGTATTGTTGATGTGATCCGAGCACTGATGCCAAAGTTTAGAGTGATGCACCGGGCACTGATGCCCCGATGGATGGAGCAACTGCATAAACATGACTTCTCTTTACCTCACTCTCTAACACTTTTATTGATTTTAAGTGTTTTTAATGCATTTAAGGACAAATAGCTTTTTGTTTGTGGTGGGGTGAGGTATTTCCATACCTACCTCTTGTGTTTCTGATATTTTCTTTATATATATTGGGTTTTGTGCTTTATATTATGTTTTGGCACTATGTTGTGAATATTTGAGCTTGTGGCTCCTTGTTTTAATTGAAAATGGTTTTTTGACCCTTCTAAAAAATATTTGCCACCCTTTTTATTGCGTTTGAATGTGGTTGTTCTTGTGAAAATTTGAGTATCGGTTATGATCAATATCGATGAGTTGAATGGTGCTCTAAATTGAACAAAAATGAATGTGCGACTACGATGATGCCAAATGAAGATGCATAAATAATATGTGAACATTTTGCATCTCTTTGTGACTAGCCAATTATCGAATTGAGTCTTTTGTGATGAACATTGCACACTAGCAAAAGTGTGGAGTCATGTTTGATATTGGTGCCAATGCCTTGTGTGATGAGCTTACCTTGAACAAAGTGTGATGACACCTAGAATTTGCCCCGTTGGTCCGGTTTACTAAGTGATGCATGCTCTTGAAATAATCTTACGCAACAATTTTAAAGAGTGAAACACTTTAACATTATACCTCTTTTGTGGCCTACCTTGTGAGTGTCTGAACTTTGCCTGAACACCCTTTGAGCCTTAGCCTTTTTCTTGGAAGAAACTTGATGAAAATGTGACCCTTTTTTATACATTCACCCATAATCCTCATGAAGTGTGGTTTGTTTGAATAGACAACTTAGGTCAAAAGCCTAAATGGGGGGTGTGGTGTAAAGAAAAGGTAAATCAAGAAGTGTAAAGAAATTCCCCTTTTATCCATGGTTTTGAGAAAGATGGAAGCCCTCCATACAAAAAAAAGAAGAGAAAAAGAAAAAGAGAATGAAAAAGGAAAAAAGACTGAAAAAGTTGTGGAATAAAGTTGTGAAATTGGCAAAACAAATGGGATGTCCGGTATTCCATGGAAAGTAAATAATGGGGTGACTTTTGAGCATGAATAAAAATGTTGAATGAAAGGAAGTGTTGTAAATACCACGTTTCATGAGGATAAGCAACCACTGAGCCTAAGCCTAAATGACCATACCTTTACACTAAGCCCCTTTACAAGCCTTGGAAAGACCTTTTTCATCTTGAGTGAGCTGAAACAAGTGTTGGTTGGAAAATAAGGGCAAATTTATGGGTGAAGACATGCATGTGTTCATATTTGTGAGTGTGAGAGTTGCATGTGATTCTGGAGCTATAAAATGTTGAACCACTGTGGGTGAATATGGAATCATTCTTTGTGTGAGGACATTTGAGTACCTTTGTTGAGCTTGAACTTACATTTGAAGCAAGTATAGTGAACTTGAAAATCTTTAATAATGGTGAGTCACAACTTGAGTCTTTGAGTGCACAATTGATCTTTGCATGAGTAAGTTGAGTTTTGTTGTGTGCATTCATGATTGATTCTTGTGTAGCACTTTTTGAGACATCCTTTTTGAACTACTAAACTTGAGTTTTACTTGAGGACAAGCAAAATTTTAAGTTGGGGATGTTGATGAGTCCGAGATTTAGACTCATTTAGGGCTTTGTTTATAATGATTTAGTGTCCTCAAATGCTTATTTTGTGCTAATAACTGATGTAAAATCCTTGATTTCCAGTTATTTGAATTGAGGAACAAAGTAGGGACACTAAATTGCAAAAAGGAATGAAGCGAGCTGAAACAAGGAAGAAAAGCAAGCCTGGTGATTGCCAAGTCCATTTGGCGAGTCACTGAGTGGCCATTTGACCACCTAAAGTTCCAGTGTGTGATGCCATGAAGGATAAAATCAAGTTGGCGAGAGAAAGGAGCAGTCGGTGGATCACCGAGTGATTCCGCTACGCAGAGTTAGATCGCCCAAAGTTACAAACCAGAAGGATGCTGAAGCCCAAGGCAAAAAGGCAACGGAATTGACCAAACGGGGGATCGTCGAGTTAATCGGGAAGTCTGAGTTACTACGCTGAATGGCCCTTCCTAGCATATTTTTGGAGACAATAAATACAATTTTGAACATTCAGTTTAGTATCATGAATCTTTTAATCTATAATACTTTCAAGTTGGAACTCTAAGTATTGAGACAAGTTTTTTCTTAGCTTTGAAGAATTGAGGTTTTTCATTTTTGAGAAATTGGAAGTGGGTCTTTGATATTCTTCAATTTGGACCTTTGTAAGGATGAAATTAATCGTACCCAGTTGATGGAAACACAATTTGGTAACGATTTTTATCTTTTTATAATGTCCTAAAACCCCAATTCTTGGGGTGTGATTATGGGCTGATTTAGTTTATGGGTATTGCTCTTTGTTAGTTTAAATGCTGTTTAGAAGTGATTTCAATCATTAATTGTGGTTTTATTTCAGAATTGTAGTTGCAAATACAGTTCCACCTTTGTGTTTTTGGCTTGCTCGAGAGAGAGGTTTTAAAACCAAGATTAATGATTGATGGTCTCTGGGTATTGAGTTTTCATGGATTCAGCTCGAGAGAGTGCATCCTAAACCCTTTTCCACACATTCAGCTCGAGAGAGTGAATGGAATAAGGCGTAGGCTGTTCTTATTTTGCATGCTTTTTGATGTTCGAGAGAAATTAACTTGATTCGGGGTAAATTGTTTGAGAGAAAGTTTACTTCCTCTATAGTCTAGCTTATTCACTAATTTACAGCTATTTTCTAATAGTTGCAATTACCATTCGTCTACATTAGCCTATAATCAAATCATATCCCAAGAACCCGTCTCATTATTTGTTAATTGTATTTTTTGTTGCTACTGTAGTTGATAATTAAAACCAAAACCCCCTGTTATTTGACATTTCTGTCACCCCTTAATTTGAATTATGTTTCTATTCGATAATGTCTATTCC